GCCCGGACAATTAAAAAAAAAGCATTTAAAAAAAACACACCCATTTTAGGGTTATAAAGAGGTTATGCATCACAATTGCACGGTTCTCTTGCAGTGACGAATCAATTTCTCGATTACTCTGCCCCAAAAGAAAAGCAGAAAAAGGTGGAAGAAGGCCATTGGATATTGATTATTTAACAGCTGGGCATAAGGAATGCCAAAATGGGCAGCACTTAATGGTATCATCCCCCTTCTGCCAAATACGCCTTTCTGACCGGGCCTCCAGCAATGTGACAGCCTCGCCAGATTTTATTTGCCTTTGCCGCTCGTCATGAGGCATGTCCCTTAATAACTTAGCGGCAAACATCGACAATCGACTGTCGACTGTCAGTTGGCTAGTTGGAAATGTGCCAAAGTTCATTGCACTGTGTTGTGATGCCGCCAATCGGTCCAACTGACATCGAACACATTCTTGGAAAATGTTTTATCCAGCCTGACGACACCAGGTATTTATTCGGATATAGAAACCGTCTAAGAATAATAGAAATAGCAAAAATTTCACATACAGTTGCCAAAATACAATTTTTTAACATGGTTTATTTTATTGTAGCATATGGTATTATGTCATTACATATAAGGTTTTTTATATTTGTAAATAGTATATAATAATTTCATCAAATTTTAAAATTCAGTTCAGTTTCTAAATTACGTTGCGTGAATTGCGTTGACAGTCGTTGTGTACTTTGGCCTTGTGTTGAGAGTGGTATTATTATGGAAACCCAATCCTAGGAACATTACAAATTTCTCTTTGCTCTCTCAAGGACCAGAATTGGAATAGGGCACTTAAAAAGGACTGTCATCTCATTCTACCCGTAAAACAATAAAAGATGGAAGTAGATTCGAATGGAATTGTTTGAAAAATGCTACAGCAATCAAAATCATACATTCCTTGCCAAAGTCACTTTAAAGATGTGTAACGTAATAGCTATGAGAAAGCCAGCCACTATAATGAGGTCGTATTTGGAAAATATACGCATTTTGAATTTATTATTATGATACCAACGTGGAAACTGGTAATTACACTAATGTTATACTTATTAAAAATAAATTATTCTGGAACTATTTTTGTTTAAAATTGAAATTTGACCATAAGCGAACATATCTAGATGATTGCAAACTAATGTAAATAACATGAAACGGCGTTTATTGTAAACACTATCTGGTATTAAAAACGAATTAGACTGAGGATAATTTAAGTGAAATATATTATATATTTATAAAAATATATATATATTGTAGCAGTCAAAGCCAAATTATATTTCTTTCACAAGCACGTTTTGTTACTTTACTTTATTCACAACAATTGATTTTTTCTTCAAGTTGGTGATCACACAATTGATATCGGTCAATATCGAAATCAGTGTTATATACAGATGTTATTTGACAGTCTTATTTATTAATGTCACAACATACATATGGACTAGAGTTATTTGTTTATAACATAAGACTGGTGTTTACAAAGTTTGCCATTGAATTATTTTGTCTTTGCTAATCGCATTAGGTATTACTGAATTAGCTCCGTAGATATATATTGAGAATTGAAATTATAAATTCATCATAATTTAAAAATCATTACTCTCCAATCATGCTCATCGATAGTTAAAATAAATGAAATGGTCTAAATAAATATTTAAGCCAGTCAGAAAATTCAAATAGTGTTCAGTTTTCAAAATGCGGTTCTCCTTGATAGTCGTTGTGTGCCTTGCGAAGGTCTTGAAAGTGGTATTATTATATTGATTAAATTTAGTTATGAAATTTCCCAATAATATTTAATTAACTCCACAGAGCGCTGATCCGCCCATAGTATATAAACTAACAAATATAGAGTGTAAGCCCAATCTTCGGCGCATTGAAAATAGCACTTGCTCTCTCAAGGCCCAGAATTGGAACAAGGCAATTGCTCAAATGGACTGTGATCTCATTTACCCAATGACTAATTTTTCGGTAAACAAAAAAGAAATTAATATTAACACATCATGCTAATTGATCTGTCTAAAAATAGCTTCGGGTCGAACTCTTTAAGAAGGCCTACAACAATCAATATCATCCCTTCCTTGTCAATGTCACTGTGAATGTTTGTGACATAATAGCTAAGAAAACTTACGTTCCCTATGGAACGATATTTTGGAATGTTGCGAAGAAATTCCTCGATAGAAATCACAGTTGTCCCGTTACGGTAAAATCAATACATTCTTTATTTGCAATCCATAACTTTTTTTCCATCCATTGACAGGGGCATTTGGGTGCAAGAAATTTGTACATAGAAGATACAGATTTTCCAGTAGAATTTCCATTGGGGTTATATATGATTTTATTTAATTTTCATGATAACCCTGGGAGGGCGAGAATCGAACTGGGCTTCTTCAAGTTATATGTAGAAGTAAAGGAAATGGTTAAACCAAAAGGAAAGAAACCCCACAAAGTAAACCTTACAATTTAAAAAAAAAAAATTGGAAGTTCATAAAACATGACTAACCTTAACAAAATTGACATTGTATTTTCATTTCGGCGTTTTTCACAATAAATCCACAATTTTGAAAATCTACACCTGGCTAAGTATGTCGTTGAAATATACACATGTTTAAGCTAATTTGAAACCAACGAGACAACAGATACTTACACTAAGATTACAAATATAACAAATCTTAATCTTTAACTATTTTTGCTTAAAATGTAAATTTGACAATAAGCGAACATATCTTCTTTATAAAAAATACTATTTTAAGTAACATAAATATATAGTGTGTCAAGCTGCTATTAAAATCGAATTAGATTGAGTTTAATTTAAGTGAAATTTCATACAGAATATAATTATAACTCTCTGACGTATAATTGTATATGTCACATAATTCAATATAGTACCAATGCTTTGGGTGATCGTTTTGTTCATATCTCACTATTTAAAAGTGATAATATAATCCATTTGCTATGTATAATTTCTTAGAGGTCAAGGAAATTGTGAAAGCAAAGCTGTGGAGACCGAAATGTTATAAAATATTATAAAGCAATATCCTTTAGTTAGCCAACAAAGATAAAAATTAACATATAATTTTATATTTATATTAAGCTTATACAATATGCAATACAATAACCAACAGCTAAATGAAGTCGAATTTTAAAAATATATATACATTTTTAAACTATTTGGATACCAATCACGATAGCTTATGCTCACACTAAGGTTACAATTTGTATTCTGAAAACATTTTTGTTTTACATTTTTAATTGACAATAAAAAAACATATATTTATGATTTCAATAGTTATACCTGAAAGCGTTCTGAACTTATTATGAATAAATTTTAATTTAATTTTTTTTTGTAATACAAATATGTGCCTAATATCTTTAAAACCAATATTCCAAATAAGGTAAACTAGCTTTGAATTGATTTGACTAGCAGACGTATTCTGATAGATATCCAGAAAGCAAAATCACTTATTTTAATGATATAATATGCACCTTTCAATTAATAATAATTAAAGAATTTATTTAATTAAATAATTATTTATATATATTTATATATAAAAACAAGTGGGAGTGCTGCAGTCGATATACCCTGAGCCCTGTTTATAAATAATTTCATGTGTTATTGGAAAATTTCCCTCTAAAAAGCTTTGCACCAAAAGCTCCCCACCTTTGTCTCCAATTGATACATACGTACACGCAGAAGATTCTGCCTTTAAAATTGTAGAACGGACGGACAAGCGGACATGACTATACCGACTCGGCTGTTGACCCTTATCAAGAATATATATACTTTATGGGGTCGGAGATGCCTTCTTCTGCCTGTTACATACATTTGCACAAGACCATTTTTAATGGATGTTATATGTAATGTACATATGGCAAGAAAAAATATATATAGCATACTTTTAGGCGATGTCATATATTATTGGGATTTGTATACCCGTGTAGAGGGAATTATAATTTTGACGTGAAGATTATAATGCATTGAAGGATACGATACGATACGGTTCCATGCGCTATATGGTATACATTCAGTCCAGTACAGTACGTCTTTCCAGGGTGTCATTCGTCATTTATCCACTCATTTTTTTCAATAAGCTTAACTTTCTGAATTTCAAAGCTATCTGGCTGATGCTTTGCACATATCCGTTTTTTAGCTGAAATGTTTCAGGTAGCTCAGAGCAAACCTTTACCACAAAAAAAAAAGAGACATTTTCATTTTTGGGATCCCAATGGGCAAATAGTCACCATTTCTGATAGTCACATAAATGTCGAATTTTACGACTACAGCCAGGCGTTAAACAGAAAACGCAAGCCGAACCAAAACTTAAATGTTAACATATTATCCTCCATATACAAGGGTATGTAATCTTGAGAGTCTAATATAACCGTGTCTTCTTTTTTAAATACCATGAAATATGCTAAATTTCAATATACTATTTACTATATACTACTTTAATTATACTTTTATTTAAAATGTATGACTTGAAATATAGTTTCAGTGATGCATTCAACTCTGTTCACCTGTTCGGACAGAGAATTCAAAACACTATATGAGTTTGGCCTGCTGATACCTTCTATTTTTAGAAGGTATTGCGTATTTACTCGCTGCTGTTTATCACTAACGTTGGTGATCATCAGCACTGCTCGTGGTATTTGTTTTTTTTTCTTTTAACGTGTTGGTTTGGCTACTCCAGTCAAATATTGCCGGCTCTTCTCATTATACTTGCTTAATTTAGATGCATACATACATATTTATATTATTTATATACTCTCCTATTGGGGTATTCTAATTTATTAAACATATTGAAGGTCATATCACCAATCTAATAATAAAACCTGGAATAGATATTCTTGGATGCAAATACACATACAGACATTAGTTGCCACTATTAGATGAAAAGATTTTTATTATTTTGCAAATTTGTATGCTTAAATGTTTATTTATTTATCAGCCTTTGCTCGGGAAAGTTTTGACAGAAAATTCAGATTTATTAATGTTTGCCCGTACGTGCCACTTTTTTGTTGTGTTAGTTTAATTATAAACAGAAGAAAGGAATTTATGCTTTCGTACATAACGGTGATTTGAATGAATATATACTTCTTATCAAATTTTGACAATGGTATGTTAAATGCAGTTTCACTCCTTGTACGGATTTCATGCACAGTTTAGATGCCTGAGTCCCAGTGCTTGGTCCATTCGATTGCATCCAGACGGCCAAGATCCAGTTTCCAGATAGCACCATTCTGGTTGGCCTCAATGGCCTTCACAAAGTTCTGTGCGCACTGCAGTGTTGTCTGTGTGGGATGCTCAAGCAGTAGCTCGGCAACGCGTGGCTCAACACCGAGCCAGGAGTTGAATTTATGCACCAGAACAGTCTTGGTAATGCCCGGGTTGATGGAGTATGCCGTAACGCCAGTAATATGCGCCAATTTCTGTTGAGATTCAATAGGTAGTCACCTGATGAAGTACAAGTATATATATATATATATATGTATATTTACTTACCGCAATGGAAGTGGTGAAGCTTAGAGCAGCCGCTTTTGAGGCAGAGTAAACGGGCACCTGATAGATGGAGTTGAATCCAGTTACTGAGCAAATGTTGGCAACAACACCACCTGGGCCGCCCTTACGCTTGTCCCAGAAATCCAAGATCGCAGTTGTGGTGTTCACTGTACCTGTAAAATTCACCGCAATTGTGCGCTCAATCTGATTATCGTCCAGGATACCAGCGCCATTGATGAGCAGATCAACTGTCTTCAGCTTGTCGAAGATTGTCTTCAATAGCTTTTTGGTTTCAGCCAACGGCACGGTTACATCATAGGGATAGAATGTAATGGTCACCTTGGGATTAAGGGCTTTCAACTCGGCAATGGCAGCGGGGTTGTCAACGCGATCAAGCACCACCAGGTTCTAAACGAAAAAACAAAAAACCAAAAATTAATAATAATAATAATTTTATTTTATTCTTCCATACTTTTTCCTGAGATTGACAGGCTGTAACCTACCTTGGGGCCACTCTTGACAATCTCGCGACTGGTGTCCAGGCCAATGCCACCCAGACCAGCGACAAAGATGATGTTACTGTTAGCGATAACCATTTTTTCAGTGATACCCTCAACTCTGTTCACCTGTTCAGACAGAGAATTCAAAACACTATATGAGTTTGGCCGGTTGATACCTTCTATTTATAGGCGAACAGTCTGCTAAGTTTGAGTATTTCCTCGCAGCTGTTTATCAGTAATGTTGGCGATCATCAGCACTGCGCGTGGTCTTGACTTTTTTTGTTTTGATTTGTTGTTTTGGTTATTGCAGTCAAATATTGCCGGCTCTTCTCATTCTACTTGCTTAATTTGTATTTTTTATATGCTCTTCTATTGGGGTATTCTAATTTTGTCCAGCATTATTAAACATATTGAAGGTCATATCACCAAACAAATAATAAAACCTGGAACAGATATTCTTGGATGTACATGCACCAACAGACATTATTTTTTTTTTTTTTTTATTAATTTATGTATTTGTATGTTCCAATGTTTATGTACGTGTGTATATTTTGCTTATTTTAATCTTTTATTTATTTGTTTATCAGCCTTTGCGCGTGGAAACTTTTGCCAGAAAATTCAGATTAATTTTATGTGCCGCGACGCGCCAGTTCTGGTTTGGACTGTCTGAACTGCACTTACTTTTTGAAAATATTGTAACTGGTCCGATCTGCGTGCGTCGACTGCTGTGGCAATAATCAGTGTTCTCAATGCGACTAACACCTTTTATACTTACACACACGAGTCGATGTTGAAATCGTGAATGCTTAAGAGATGTAAACCACTACTTTGTATATAGCACAACAAATAGGGGAGATCATTAATAAGATAGAGATGAAACTGAGCTGCAGAGAGCGGAACACACTTGAAGCCCCGACCTTCACTGAATGTCAAAGCAATATTACTCGGCTTATATTGTTGTTGTTGCTGTTGTTATGTTCGCAGATTGCATTATTTGCATTATTATTCAAATTGACTGACGCAGAGAATGTGAGAAGTGGTGGAGTGGTATTACAAGTATATGGAATTTACGTACATTTTTCACTAGGTAGTATACCATATTGATACAAGTTATGTAATTTATATACATTAAGAATTCATTCAGATTATTCAACTGAGTTTTGACAAGTGTCTTGACTAGAGCAGGAAGTGAAAGAGTAATCATAATATATGATTCTACGTTGTTACTATAAAAAACATAGACAATATAAATATAATATTAATATAGGTATAAAAAATGATTCAAGTAGAATAAGAATAAATGCATTTCATTTATGAAATAATTAGCAGAACCTGACTTATATACAATATACCACAAAATACCTCTGACGTCTGACGCCAATATGGCCTGATATCAGACATCTCACACCAGTCCGGGTTATCACTCTTGTTAGGAATACGTCGCTTCTTAACCGCAATCAGACGAGTTGCTGATTATACATAATCACCATGAATTGTGACGTGAGAGCGAGGCGGCAGACAATTACTGACCTATTCTGCGCTATTGCTACACATATTGAATTTGATTGTCAGCGAAACTAGAAATAAAACACACTTTGTAGTCAATCTATTATAAAAGTCGCCACGCTTCTTAATCCGACTACAAGTTAGGGTTCTTAAAATGTTTGCTTAGCAGCCCTTAACAATGTTTTATAATTATCAATAGATTACATTACAGCTATTTAACAACAACAAACAAAGTCCAATTTATTAATCTATAAATTCGAAAATTCTAATTATATTAAATTAGCTTGATCAAGAAACTACAAAAATATGAGCCGATTTATATTGTACTTGTAATTGTAATTGTAATTGTAATTGTAATTGTAATTGTAATTGTAATTGTAATTGTAATTGTAATTGTAATTGCAATTGTAATTGTAATTGTAATTCCTAATTTCTGTTTTGTGCTCTATAAAAGTGCATTCAGGTGAAAATTAAGTTTCAATTTGATTTTGAAAACGTGGCAGCTCACACACACTCGACACTTGACACACCTCACTCTCTCACAATACATGCACAGCAACCTATACATATTACAATAGTTATTGTTGTAAGTTGATGGGAGAGGAAGCGAGGTGTGCAATAAAAGTGGAGTAAACTGTGGAGGCTTGGACAACGATGCAACATTTCAACGTCATCTTCTTGAAGCTTGGGCTTAATTTGCTTTGACTTTTAGCAATTTGCATAAATATCTTTAGCACCATAAATATCACCGCAGCCAGAGCGAGTATCGCGAATACGTGTAGACTGTGTATAATGTTGTTCTTGTTCTTGTTGTTGTTGTTGTTGTTGTTGTTGCTGGAGCCTTGCATTTGTTATGATTTTCTGTATTCAACTGCGACAACAATAACAATCAAAACCAGCAAAGGCATTGGCTGGTAATTTTTACAGCAATGACGGCAGCAGAAAACCGAAAGAATTATGATTTCTTCTATGGGGGCGGTGCGGCACACAACCAAAGGCAATAATTTACCTTCACCACCTTTCGTAGGTAGACCAAAATGGTAATGATCCGACAAAGGACGAGCCATCGCAAATGTCTGACATGCAAATAAATACGTACATAAATATTTATATTTATATATATGTGCATATATTTATATATACTCGTACATATATGCCCAAGCCCCTGAACTTGGAAACCAATAAAGTAATGCCGCTTTGCTATTGCCATTGGACCCTTTGAAGGCACTACCACAACGAAATTGTAAATTGTTGGATAACTTAACTTAACCTTGTGTGAGTAGTGTCGACCGCAATTGAGCGGTTCTAAACAATTTACGGATACTGCTGATGGCAATAAATTAATTTAGTTTTTCTTTTTCCGTAAATCAAAGATGAACGATTCGCTTTTCTTCTCCCACATAAAAATTGCTTAAGATAAATAGTAATATTTAGTTTTCTTTTATATTTTCAGCGTTGGCAAAGACGATGGTTTGTACTCTACGATGATGGTGAACTGACTTATTCAGTGGATGATTATGTAAGTCTCTTTGCGCTGTAAGAATTAATTTGAGTGTGTGACTAAGAGCATAGAAATTACATTTCAAGACAACAGTCAGTATAAACAAGTATTTCTATAAGATCTTCATCTGTACATTTTGCAGCCCGAGACGGTGCCACAGGCCTGCATTGATATGACCAAAGTACTTGAAGTGAGCAGTGCCGAAGAAGCGACCGGCCATACAAACTCCATTGCCATAACTGCGCCGGAGCGTGTCACCTTCGTCAAGGGCATCAGTCCGGATGAGTCGCAGTGGTGGCTGAACATATTGACTGCGTTCCCCAAGTCCAAGGGTCGGCACAAGCGCAGTACCACACTTCCAGGTGGCCAGATCAGCTGTCTGCGGCAGTCCTCCAATGTGGACATGGCAATTAAGTTGGGAAATCGCCATAGCTCATATCACAAGGACACGCTCACGTCCTCGCAGTCGGCTGGCAATCTGCTGGGTAATCTCGATGATTCCAGCTCGACGAATACGGTTAGTTTGACAGTCACCGCAACCGCCAACGATGATGAGGACGACGGCGTCGAGACTGGTGAGGATGAGGAAGAGGAAGATGACCATCAGCAGCAGCAGCAAGTGTCCACGTCACGGAAGATAAAAGTCTCGTCTTCATCAAGTTGCCATGGGGGACAGGATGAGAACAATCGTAATGCTGGCAACGAGATCACAAATCGGGGTAAGTTTTACTAGATGCCAAATAAGTGGAGTGCCATATTAGATCATAAAATATATATTTGTGCTTGGAGAATTGTAAAGTGGCTTCAAAACTGCGTTCAAAAACAGCATATTTTTAATGACCTTGGCTTTCAGAACGACTTAACAGCTCTTACCGTAACCGTAATCGCAACTTTGTGATTCTGCTGAAGCTGATAAGGCGTTAATTAATTAAATTCTGATAGACTTATATAATTTTATATAGACAGTCTCACACTAACATGAATATAAAATGATTAAACTTCAAAGCAATATTGCAATCACCGAACAGTTGCTCAAGAATGCCTAATTAACTAGACATTAATAACTACTAGCAGTTAGAAGTATTTTACCCATGTCTTTGACACACACACACGCTAATCATTAGCACACATACAGTAGTATACATATGTATTATAATGATGATAAAGTTACTTTTACTTTTTGTTTGTTGTTTGTTTACCCTAGCGGAGAGAATAATAGCTATGAAGTTTGTGAATGAAGTGTGGAACACATTATAGGGCGGCACATCGTGTTCTCTATCAGCAAAACGCTCTTCCGCTTATCTCTCTGTATATTATCAGCTACTATTAACAACATACATCAATAGGAAAATTTGCGGCAGATCTTAAGTATATGAATTAAAGGGCGTGGCCAGTTGTAATGCGCTTCTAAAAGAGTATGTAGTATTCGGCGTGCCGAAACTAGATTGGGCTTGTTTCATTTTTCACTGCCCTCTTTGTACCAGCTGCTTTAATTTTTATGATCATTTATGGCTTGCAGCAATCAAAATTATCAGGCACAGCCCAGACAGATTCCCTGCTTGGCTGGGTGGCATGAGGGAGGCGACGCGTCGCGACGGTTGCGTAGGGCGTCGTAGGGTGTAGATGAAGAGGAGCGCGGGGGAGGTGGATTGGTTTGCAGACGGTGCGTGCAGCTAGTTAAAGACCCAGCTTCGAAATTAACCTTGAATTCACACAGTAACAACAACTCAAGGCACAAACGTGCAGCGCATCTTTTACCCAGCTTCCTACTTAATGGTAGGCTTCATAAATTTTCTTTAGATGCAGCAGACACACACACACAATGCCCCAAATGGCCCCGTGCCCTTGCTTAGGTTAGAGCTAACTCTCTGAGCCGAGTTCTGAATTCTGAATTCTGAACTGGGGCTGGGACTAGGGCTGGGGCTCAGTCTGGTAATTGCAGTTACTGTGAATGTTCTCACATACATTGCTGCAGGATACTTGTTCATGGAAAAATGATATTCACGCTTAAATTATAGTGTATCTACATCATTCTTCTGCTGCTTTTCTTGTTTTTGTTGTTGCTGTTGTTGCTGTTGTTGTTGTTGCTGTTGTAGCGAGTTGTTGGCCCAAAAAGACACACACATAGATGCTGACTTTGTATCTTTTGCTTAGGTTACTGCTCTTTCCCACTTCGCAAAAGTCTGCACAATTCAAGACTTGGCGAAAACATCGAATGTCAATATTTCAGTGGTTGATAAACTGCCAGACAAATGTGAAAATGAGTAAGCAAGCTAGCCAAGTGAAGCCAACATAGAAATCATTCTGATGGACAAGATTTGGATTAAGATTGTGTTAAAAATTTATTGTCGTGTTTGTGAACACTGCAATAAATTATCGCATTTCAGATGTTTCTCCATACATATAATCAGTCAGCAGTCACACCTGCCAAATCCCTGTTTTGATTGGGGTAAGGTGCAATAGGTTTGGGTTAAGCTGGCACAAACAAATTACGTTACATCAAAAAACAAAAGTGTGCACCAAATGAGGCAATTTACTGGCTCCACCAGAAACTTTCTGAATGAAAGAGCTTGGCTCGGCAAAAGCTATTAAAATGCACAACGACAAGGATTGTAAACTGTATACCTATTCACCTAATAGCCCCGGCGGCACAGCAAAATTAGGCAGCAAACACTGAATTTGTCTGCCTTTTTTTTTAGGTTTTTCTTTGTCTTTTTTTTTTTTTTTTGGTTTTTGCTAGGGCTAGTGGCAAGACAAGTCCGGCACTTGATAGTCCCCTCTGGACATAGACCTGAACAAAGAAACGGACACGTTGGCTGTTGTTGTTGGAGTACGTGGGGGAACTTGTAAATGGCAGTTGCCGCAAACTGAATAATTACAGTTTACAGTGCAAATAAATCTTGGCTTGATGCATTCAAAGAATGGGCCAACGACAGAATACGTTTACCGAGACTGGGCAAGCAAAGCAGCAACTTTAAAGGTTGTATTAATGTCCAACTGGAAAATTATAACTTAAATTAGTTTCTATAAAAATTGTTAGCACATTGTAGGCCACTAATTTATCGTAAACTGCGTCTTAGCCAACTCAAGTGTGGTCAACGGTTTAAGCCAAAAGCTAGTGTGATGCAGATAATAAAAATCTAAAACTGATCGAGCATCGTGAAAGCAACAATAATTAATTGTTAATTTGGAATAAAAGAAATATGTTCACTTCATGCCATAATGCCATAATTAATAAACAGTATGCAGGCCGACATATAAGTGGAGCTCCTATTTGTGTGGTGCACCAAATGCAAAATGACAGGGACAGCTCAATGTATACATATGTGCATGTATGTATGTATGTATGTATGTTTGTGGTTCGTGGAATTCAAAGGGGCGGATACACACACACACACACAGATATGTACATATGCACCCAGATAGATAACGATGCGAGTGACTGCAGACGGGGGCCACCAATAACCAATCAATATTCATAAGTGTAACGAGTTCGTTTACTGGCCAAGAAGCCAGGCTGAATTTATGCAAGGTTCCCTCAGTTAGAAATTATTCAAAGTCATCGTGTGAGGGGTGCCCAAGGCTGTCAACATAGGCTGCACTATGAGCTGGACGTGCAACGAGGGCAAGCAGGAAAGATGGGAAGTAGGAGTAAGCGCAGACATTCATATTGCGAGAAGGCAATTTTCAGTTTCATTGCCCAAATGAACTTGCAATTTGATTATTTATTACACCAAGGCGGTGCTGCTTCCAGTTTACTCTTAACTCTTAGTAACAGGAATCCATTATTGAGTGGATTGTTCAGAGTAACTAAATGGCTGCACTAATTAATCAAATGTGTTTAATTAAAAAATATATAAATATTGCCATTACTTTATTACGGCAAACCTGGAACAAAAAAAAAAGACCGTGATTATTTCAATATTTTATATACATTTATTTCAACATCCAAACCATTCAGAAATATAAACATTTATATAAATTGCGTAACAAATTACAATTTTAATCTCCTAGCATTGTTATCTAAAATCTATAAATTAAATGGAAAAACCACATTAGGGCAATAATAAAATAAAAATAAAAATAACTTGCTGAGTAAGCAGCAGGATTACATTTGTGTACACGAATCGCACTCAAGATGCCCTAGTCAACATTTCAGATAACCCAAACTGCTTATTAGTTCATAAAAAGTAGTGAAATAATTATAAAGAAAACATGTGAAGATATAATAATTAACATAGCAAATAAAAGAAGTTATATTTAGTCTGGTAATGGTTCACAGATTTTGCTGTCTGTCTATCTCTATCTCCACGACTCTGCTCGTGGTGCTGCCTGCCAGTATGTATAATATCATAAGTTTTATAAATTCCATTGTGGACACACTACACTACATACATACTTGCCTAGTCCCCCAGCTTTTCGGGCTTAGCGTAATCAACGACGACGTCGTCGTGGCCGTCTTCGTTCGCCTTTAGCAACTAAGTAGGACCGACAAGTCGGCCAATTAAAGGCATACCCCACCATTTAGCACAGTAACCTTGAACCTGCTTGCTGAGTTAGTCATTCAGCCAAAGTCAACCGTCGCCTTGTCGGCAACATGATCCAACTCTGACGCTGCAAGGAGTTCACAGAGCAAGAAGTCTTTCTTTTGTATTTATTTTTGTTTGTATACTCTTGCAAGGGGTATTCCAATATTGGCATGAAATCCGAATCGCATTGAACACATTTTCTTAAAAAAAAAGAAGTTAAATCATTAGCAATTTTATTGATTTTCAGAATATCTGCTTAGGCGTGAAATATTTTCAAAAAATGATCTGAGACCGAACACAAGATAAAGTCGTTTTCATTTCAAAATTGATAATATAAGAGTATGCAGTTTTCTTCTTGTAGCTTTTTTTACACTGGCGAGGCAACAACTCAATAATCAAGATAAATGCAGCGAATTCGATTGGCCAAAAAGTTGGCCCAAGAGATCAACCTGTTCGACTGACCGAATTGATGCGCACTCAAACGCAGACTCGGTGGGTTTTTAATGGCCAGACAGAGTCGGAAATTCGTATCATAATCATAATAAACCTAAACAGGTCTCCGCCGTGGGGACCTGTGGACAAGGGCACGTCTAAATATATATTTTGTAATCATATATATTTATGGGACAACTTTAGCCGCGTTGCCGCTGACGTTTCCCCCAATGGATCCCGGGACTCGTTTGGGTGTTAATAAAATTATGGCACTACCCATCTCGCTCACTCCCTCAACGATTCCATTTTTTCTTTTTTTACTGTGGCTGTCCGAGAACTTGTTCGCCTTATCACGCATCTCTTCGAGAGGATCCTCTTACCGTTCAACTCGTTTTAATAATTTTATTATATTTGCACACAAATAACTTACCGTGCCACATTTTATGGCTTTGTGGATGGCATAAACATTTCCAGAGAATATGGAATCCGCTAGCAAGCATGGCTAATACCAATTTCACTCAATGGCATTGATATGGTTAGCTTATGGCCAATAGACTCTCGTATATCAGTGCACTTAATGAAATCGCTTGCCAAATGTGAAGGACAAACGTATTATTGCCAACAATAAAAACGATAAATTAAGAACCTATCCGAGAATCAGAGAACTTCTTAGCCATATTAAGAAGAAGGAGATGCGAATTTTAAAACCTCTACTCTAATATATTCTGCAACTTTGGCGGGGCACTCTTAATTTGAATCTTTTCAAATTTAAGTCTGACTTATAGCTATAATTATATGGAATAGTTTTATAGCTATAGTTTTTATGGAAATAATTAAATATATTTTAATAATCCATTGCATTTTTCGCCGATTTGCAGTTTCCCAACCGACTGGCTGCCTGCTGATCGAGGACATGCGACGCGATGAGAAAACAATTAAGGACATTGCGAACACGATAACAAACCTAAGTCAACAGCAGAATAAACGCTGGTCAACGGCTGTCAACAATGCGCTAAATAATCAACATCAACAGCAACATCAACAGCAACATCAACATCAACATCATTACCAGTACCAGACATCGCGTGATGAAACCGATTTCCAACTGACATCCACCGGCAAATCCCTAAACGCGACCAGCGAGCAATCGCTTGTTAATCTGAGACCAAAGTCATTACCACTGGCGGCCAACTCAACGCCAGCGATTGTGTCCGCAATAGTCAAGAAGATACCCACAGTTCTAGTGTCCCAACAGCAGCAACAGCAACAGCAACAGCAGCAGCAGCAGCAACAGCAGCAACAACAACAACAGCAACAGCCTAAGCAACAACAAGTGGAGAGTGCAAAGAGCGGAAAAGCTGCCAATCGAATGCAGCTGCAACTGAAGCCCGCCAAGCATTATCAGCACGAACGTGGCGATCCCGATGGTGGCTGCAATCTGGACGAGCTGTGCGCCAACTACATGGCCAAGTCGGATGAGCTGAGATCCATCAGCAAGTCCAGCAAGTGTACAGTCAAGCCGTCAGGCAAAAGTGTCGAGGAGTCGTTGAATGCCAAAAAGGGGTGGCTCATGAAGCTGGACAATCGGACAGGCGAGTGGAGCAAGCATTGGTTCACATTGAGTGGGGCGGCTCTCTTCTACTACAGAGATCCGCTCTGCGAGGAACGTGGCGTCCTCGATGGTGTCCTCGACGTGAACAGCCTATCTACTGTTGTGGAAGAGCCCAACGCTACCAAGCAGCATGCCTTTCAGCTCATCACGTGGGACAAGCAACGTCTTTTTCTGGCCAGTCTATCGCCCAGCTCGAGGAACAATTGGCTGGCAGTGCTGCGAAGTGCGGCAGGGTTGCCACAGCAGCAACTGGAGAATTCCTCGCCAACAACAACTCCGGGTACTTCGACACCATCATCGATCCTTAAGCAGAGCGACATCGAGCAGGACTTTATCAAGGCGCAGCTGCAGACCCACCCACATAGCACTAGTCCACCCGCTCCAGGCACGCCGGCAAATGCGCCACATTTCTCCTCGGATGAGGAGTATCGCACGGCCTCGGAGGGTGGCCGGAGGGATAGCCTTGACTGGGGTTCACCGCTGTCACCTTCGCCACCCGTGCTAAGGAGCTGCCTGCGCAATCGCAGTCTGGCCAGTCTGCACAAGCGAAGTCGCAGCTCGCCGCCCAGTTCGCGTCGCAGCACTGTGGATAGTGTGGCCAGCGATGAGCTGCCCCTGATGGCTGTGCCCGAGGAGATGCGTCCAGATCGCACCGAGCTCAAGCAACAATGCGAGACGCTGCGCACCGAGGCGAAGTTGCGGGAGGCACGCATGTCCGAGTTGCTCACGACACTGCAGCGGACGGAGCAGGAGCTGACGGCCCGACTGCAGGAACAACAGCAACAGCTGAATGGAGAGCTGGTCAGTGCCAAGCAGAGTGCAGCCGAGCTGGTGCACAGCTTGAGCCTACAACTAACGGAGAGTCAGTGCAAGATCAAGCAACTGGAGGATCGTCTGGCCCAGGGCATTGAGGAGAACGAAAGCTTGTATAAGCGACTGCGGGAGCTGCAGGCGGGCAACAGTCAGGTGGCCAGTCTCAGTAATCTACAGCGTCACAAAATGAAGCGCATGGACTCGCTCAGCGATCTGACGACAATCAGCGATATTGATCCCTACTGCCTGCAACGGGACTCCCTCGCCGAGGAGTACAATGAGCTGCGCAGTCGCTTCGAGAAGGCTGTTAATGAGATTCGTGCGATGAAGCGGGAACTCAAACAGTCTCAGAATCAATATGATGCACTCGAGCTGATACAGACAGCGTTGCAGCAGAAACTGGAACGTTGCCAAATGGAGGATGGGGCGCAGTTGCAATTGATGGCTGCACGCATCCAAGACTTGACGATCAAGTACAGCACCTCGGAGCGACAGGTGCGAGCGCTGAAGCAAAAGCTGGCCAAGTCGGAGCGACGACGTTCGCTCTCCTTGAAGGGCAAGGAGCAGCTGGAGCTGAAAATCACTGAGCTGCAACGGGAAACTGTGGAGCGCAAGCCAGCCGAGAGCAGCAGCACCACCATCAGCACCACCATCACCACCGAGTCCAGCAGCGATTCCAGCAGCCAGTCATCGCCATTGAACTCATCTGCTCATCTGCTGCAGCGCCTGCATAGTTTGGAGCATGTGCTCCTTAGCAGCAAGGAGCGAATGGAGCAGAGTCTCACCCAGTTGCAACAGTTGCGTGCCGGACAGCGCAGTCGACGATCGGTGTCGCCCTTAAATGATCGCAAGGATGGACTCAGGCAACTGGAGCGTGCCCTAACCGAGACCTGTGTGCTGGTCAGCGAGCAAATGGAGCTGTCCTGCCTGCAGGACTCGTGCCACAAGTGCTGCGAGCTTCGGCAACGTGTCGAGAAACTCTCGACCCTGCAACAGCAAACGGAGACGGATTTGCAACGCAGCGAACAGCTGCTCGAACAGCGCGAGAGCGAATTGGCCCTGGCGCTGGAGAAGTGTGCCAACCAGGAACAGGAGCAACAACAGCTGCTCCAACAGCGCCACGAGCTGAGCGACGAGCTGGGACGACAGCATGAACGCTGCAAGCGAATGGAGAAGCGTCTCGATCTGCTCGAAAGGGAGCATGGAAAGCAACTTGAATGCCTCCGAGAGGTCTATCGCCATGAGCACGCCAATGTCGCCGATGAGCAGAGTTTCCGCAAGCGATACCAGACGGAAATCGAACAGCTAAGGGTATGTCAGGAAGGTGGCATTCGATACACTTTTGAGCTAAATGTAACTCACTTCATTCTAGACACTCTGCGAGAAGGGGCTAAGCGCCATGGAGTCATCGCATCGTCGGCTTATTTGCGACATGGAGGAGAAGCACAAGCTGGAAATTGAGCATCTGTTGGCCGAGAAGGAAACGGCGTTAGCCGAAGAAACTCAGGTAACAATTCATTATTTCCTTCTTCTTTTCTCCAGCGTGATCCTAAGGGCTCTCTCTTCACTTCTAGGCAACATTGGCCGCCCTGGATGCCATGCGAAAGGCCCACCAGAGCGAGGTGCAACGTGAGGTGTCACGCTTCAAGGCGGAGTTCCTGCGTCAGGTGCAACGTGGCGAGCACATGCGAGGAGATGGCGCCAAGCCCCTCAAGGAGTAAGTACTCAAAATTATCGTATTTGATAGATGAGTTAACATGGCTCACACTTGCAGAGAGGAGCTCGATGAGCTGCGACTGGAGATTCTCTCGTTTTCCGAGAAGTACTCGATAAAATGCGTGGAAAATGCGGCCCTTGAGGAGAAATTGCATCTGGCCAATGGCAAGCTGAGGCATTTTCAGCAAATGCAACAGCTGGAGCTGAGGTAAGTGCCACACACATCATTTACACCGTACAACATCATAATTCAAATATATCAATCTCCACTCCACTCCACTCTCGCCCGAACCAAAGAAATCAACAATTTCGCGCCCATTTGGCCTCCGATGATCCTGGTAGCGATGTTCACTTTGTGCAGGGCCTGACGAGAGGCTCCAAGGAGGATGCCGGCTGCCAAGATAGCGAGGTAAGTAGACACCAACAAATTTAGCTTCTACAATCATGAGATATGAATTTATATACACTACCTGTGACTAACACTAAATTAGAGCAAAAACCGAAACCAAAACAAAACAAAACTAATACACTTTGTTACCATCTTCCACAAACACACAACATCACAACCAAAAAAAAGCCTGTTAAGTGCGCACCACAAATAATGGTTGATACAAACACAACAACAACAAAAACAACAACAACAACCACGACAACCACAACAACAACTGTAGAGCCAGACGCAGAGCTCGTAGCGGCATCGAGAGTCCCCAACAATATGGAACAAAACCTGTTTGTGATACCTTCCCATAAGCTAAGTCATTGCCCAGGCGCGTCTGCCGCAAACACTTCTGATTCCGGCAACAATATTGAAATCGAAATCGAAATCGATGAGCTTGAATATAAATATGAGCCGTGCTACAAGCCAAGCGATATATTTGCCATATATCAGAATCGTTTATGTTTCCAAGGTAAACGAAATGCATTTCACATTTCCTGTCACTCTGCTCTGCTCTGCGCACCGACGAACAAGCAACACTCTTTCCACTGTCTAAAAGCATACTTGCGTCTCTTTCACTGTCGCTCTCTCTCTCTCTCTATATATATATATACATATCTATATATCTGCATATCCTACTTCGTAATTCTCCCCATTATCCATCTGTCCTCTGTTCTTTTTTTTTTGGTGTGGAGTGTATTGTCTGTATGCGCATTTCTGTTGGCATTAAATATAAGTTAACACATATTGGTTTCCATTAACACTGTACCCACACAGATACACACATGGATGTATGATCATTGGAAAATGCAAACAAACCTTTCGAACGAACCTTTTACTTATCAAGATTTTTGCATTTTCTTTTATTTTCATTTCTACACAAAATAAAAGGTCTAAAGGGCAACTCGACGTTCGGAAAGAATCTACGCAAAGCTACAGCAAGAACAACATCACCAACATCATCAGCAACAGAATCAGCAACATCAACACCAATAATAAACAATCTGCCCAATTCCAGTCACAAACGAATCTATAAAACGGATGCCGTTATAAACATACAGCAACAGCACAACCCTGACAATGTAATTCAGCAAGAAAAAGCACAATGAACAATGAACGAAAACAAAGGAAAAATCAATTGAAAATGATCATGAAATTGAATACGATAACCAAGAACAATAACAACAACAGAACCAGTGGAACAACCAAAGAATAATTAGTGCTAATAATAAATAAATTATTATAAATATTTAACATATAAAAAACAAGAAACAAAAAAAACAAAAACAAAAAAAAACTTAAACCAAATGAGAAGGTCGAACGGAAAATATACGAACATGTAAATATGTGAAAATCGTTAGACAACTGGTTAGCAAAACGATGATGTTGGTGATGTTGCAGAGCAAGCAGACTTCTTCTCTTCGCTACAGACGATGATTGAGAGCAACAGATTGAGTTAAGCACTAACAACGACTGCTCGCCCCCCTCCACCCTTAACTGGAAGGGACGTTGAGCAATGGAAAACCTAATCACAATACCAACAACAACAACAGCAACAACAACAGCAACAGCACTCACAACAACAAGTCCGTCATATTAGCGTATTAATTATTGGCACAAAATGAATTTCCATTTTGGCAAACAACAAATTTATGTATTTATCAGCTATTCTATTCTATTATCGTATATTATTATATCTGTAACATTTACCCAAACTTTCTATGTCCATTAAATGTGTCATTTACTTATGTAGTGTTTAGGTCAAATCGAAGAACAACTAAAAACCATCATTTTGCTCAACTATTTTAATATAGATGGCATTATCAGCATAATTTACACATATATGCAACTTGTTGTGTTTTTGTCTTTATTATCGAAATTGTTTTGCAGAATACATATTTTTATGTACTTGCATATGAAAATGTAAATGCAGTATAATTATTTATAAATAAAACTCTGAATATTTGTTCTGTTAACCATTGGTATTAATCAAATATTTTACTTCTGATGGAATTTTAATCATACCACATTAGTGGGAAAAACAACACATTTAATATTATTTACAATTAAGTCGTTATTTGTGCAACAAAATTTAATAAAGTATAAATAATTGTTTATAGTTTGATAAAAAAAAAAAAAAAATGGCTTTCATTTTTGATAAAAACTAAAATTGGTTAAAATAAAATCATAAATTGCTTGGGCTCGTCCGGGATTTGAACCCGGGACCTCCCGCACCCTAAGCGGAAATCATACCCCTAGACCAACGAGCCTACGCTGTGCCCGGCGGCAAATCAGCGATTTAATATTGCATATTTACCTTCAAAGCATGTTCGTAAAAGCTATTTATTGATGAATTTGTATAAAAAGCTCCACTCTTGTGTTTCAACTCACTTTTGTAAGTTTTGTATCTTAGCACATACTTAATATTGAATTGAAACATTATTGCATTGTTAGGAATCATTTATATTTAAATAAATTGAATGCTGTTGAAACCTCAATTGAAATTAATAAATGTTAATTTTTAGCAACTTTAGGAAAGTATTTTTCATACGATTCATAAATTTGTATGTTCTTAAAATCAAATTAGACAAAAACCATAAAATAAGAATAACAAAAATAAATTGTAATTTGTTTAACTTGAAGAAGGAAAGTTTCCCCAAAGTAAGGCACGTGAAAACAAATTGAAGACAGCGCAGTGGTAAAGTATTTGCAGCTCTTTCTGATCAAGATAACGAGCAATTGATGGATTCACAGAGTCGTCTGGCCACAGACGAAGAGCGATCGAGCCATCGAGCCATCGAGCCATCGAGCCACCGAGCGAGCGATCATCAAGCGCAGTAGTAGCAACAACTGTTGCAACAATCGGAACAGTAGCAGCAGCAACAACATCAACAACACGTTGTATAGCCAAATAAACAATTGGTAATTGTTACTGTTTGTGCCACATTCAGGCGATTGGGATTTAGATTGAGATTCAGTTGTGGGGTTGCTAGCATACAGACCTGGTAACACACATTCTATTCAACACAGGAATCGCCTCCTCATCATACACAATCAACATGTGAAATTGGGAAGTCTGGAAACCGAAAGTCACAAAGTCACAAAACTTGTCTGTTCATCAGCAGTAGCCACGGCTAGAACAAGCCTAGCTGAGAGGCAGACTGCTTTTGGCAGTCGTGTGAAACATGAATGGGTCCAAATTGATTTCAAATGCCCTGGGGGACCTCTTAGATAGTGGAAGGCGCAGTGCTTGCTTTACCATTGTGTGACCCAATGGACCCTCTGGGAATCTTTGGGAGGATTCAGCATCTTCTCAACTGCCATAATACGATGCCAATTTTGGGCTACCAAATCTGTTTGCTTTTTAAGGATATAACAATTTGTTCGAATCACGTTTTTTTTCGACTGTGACATATTTGGACAAAACGGGAGGCAAAAGCCACAAAGAGAGAGAGAGAGAGAGAGATAGAGAGAGAGAGAGAGAGAGAGAGAGAGAGAGAGAGAAAGAGAAGAATTACATATGTATGACCACAATCTTAGGCTGAAAGTGGCATGCTCCCAACGCCCATAAGGAAAGCCGAATGCGATGCGGCAGCGTCTACAAATTTCAGCTCTTGATATAAGATCACAAAACATTGCATAAACATTACGGGACAATGGGCCACCTAAATGAACTGATCGTAAATTGCGGCTGTTGGACCACAATAACAGCTCCAAAAGCTCCGTTCCCGTTCACAATTCTGTTCGCGTTTCCGTGCTCGTTTCGGCGCGAGAACTGTGAGGCCATAAATTTGCCGCCCGTTTGTATCTTTCTTCGCTCTCTTAACGCACACAGAATGAATATCAGGGAATGTCAGGGAGCACGCCCAAGGGAAACCATCTACTGATCCAGATCATCCAAAGTCCCAGCTGCGATTTCTCTTCACAGTCAGAGCTTTGTTCACAGGTTAAGAATACATTTGTATATATTGTAAGTCAATTGTAGCCGATGAACTGCTACACTTATCAATTAATTAACATCAATATGTTTGTGAAGCGGGAAACCAATAAATTAATAGATTAGCTTTGTCAACTGAGCTTCGATTGGAAGAAACTCCTACAAAAAATTAAAGTATGTATTTTTTAATTTTTTCTTGTTTCATTTTTTTTCTAATTTTTCTGATGGATAAACATGTTTTCCAATACTTTCAAAATTATGTGTTTTAAAAATAATGTTATCTATATAAATTAATAAAATTAATATTTTGTCTTTCCGGAGGTTGGCGGCAATTTATCTTCCTCAATCGAAATAATAGGGTTTTGTGTAACCACAAGAATCATTTTGATTATCTGAGTACCTAGCTTAAATGGAGAACCAACGATAACATGAACAAAACAAGAAGCACCAAATTAAGTTCAATTATTACTGTTGAATTCATTTAAATTGACGATCTATTGACCGCAGGCAAGGACTACTTTGATCGTTGTGGTTCTTATTTGAAAATTTCCACATTTGTGTTGCAAGCCCCGACAGTTTCTCCTCTATTGTAGTTATTACGCATGTTCCAGTTGTTCCCTGGGCCTTTGGCCATGATTATTATTTTATATTGGCCCCATGCTAGCAGCTCGTTTGATTTTTCGAGTGGGTTGCAATCTTTCTTGGCTTGCAATTTATTCATTTTGCCTATCGTGGGTTGCCCGATGTTATTGCTGTTGTTGCTCGCAATGCATTGATCTAATAAATGTAGATTATTGAATTCTAGTCGCTGGGGCTGCCTCTGCAATGAGTAATGAGTGCAATGGGCTGATCCACTAAACAAATACGCCCAAAATCGACCAACTTTCCGATTATTGCTAGTGCTTGAATTAGGTTTTTTTGCCAGTTAATATCAACTTTTTGATAGCTTTATTTTCCAATTAATAACATGAAGTTATTTCCACGTTATAAAGTTATGAATATACTTCGACTAGAAGCCAAACGCTTAGTATTTTCTATCAACACTTTGCTTATTAAAGGTTGGAAGCCATCTTGATGACGAGATAAAACAAATGGAGAAATGATAAAGATATAGTCTTAACCCAATATATACAAATATAAATTGCGTTCAATGCTTAAGCACCTAAGAGAAATATTAAAATATGTTTAGCATTTCATTCTGTTCGTAGTAGCCCTTGAGGTCCGGCATTTTATACAAAAAAAATACAAACAACATTTTTCACTTTCCCTTTTTTTTTCTAAAATTTATTTATTTTTTTTCGGCTTGTTTCTCATTTGACATTTTTCAAATAATGAACGCATTGCGAGTGTTCGCGCACATTGTCCTTCAGCATGGAGTTTTACGATACAGCTCCACAACATCCAATTTAGGGAATAGTGTCAGGAACAAACTGAAGGTGTCATCCAAACAGCTTGCCAAACCACAACCGATCGACATTTTGAACAACCTCTGCCATGAGGAGAGGCTCAATCGTCATGTGTTGACTGCCCACCATGAGGGAGTGGCGAGCGTAAGTCTGTAATTCTGATTTTGATACGTAAAGAAAAAAGGAGACCTTTTTTGCCACACTCTCAACCCATTAAACTTGGGAAAATCTCCGACCTAGTCAATGAAGCCCTGTCCATCTACTCCACTTCTGTCTCTCCGTCTATTTGAGCAAACGAATCTTAGAGACTTAAAATTTTGGGCACTCTCGTATTCCAGCGACATTCGATGTTGTCATTCCGAGACGGCAATTTCGGGACGAATAATAACAGTTGTTGTATTTGAATCTTAAATAACTTATGTTATAAGGTTCCGAGTCAAAATTCAAACTGGTAAATATGCGACTGCGATTCCAATTTCAGTTTGACACCCTGTCAAATTCGTTTTCCCAAGTTTTCGGCTATTACTGTTCGATTATTGTCCGACCAATGAGATGCTTCCATATTGAGAATTACAATTCGGATGGCCTATTTTCCTATGTTTGCTACATGGTAAGCAAATGATGGTGTACTCAAATAGAACTTTCGATTTCAGCACGCAAAGAGAAGAAAAAGCAAATCTTGCGGAGCGGCAATAGCTGGCAAGAACATCATTTTTGTTGCTGGCCTGGGTGGTATTGGAATGGATACCTGTCGTCAGATTGTCAAGAGGGGACCAAAGGTGTCCATAAGCTTTAGTTTCAGAAAAGAATTTTAAATACTCTTTCGTTTAGAACCTGCTGATTTTTGACAGACTTGATAAGCCAGATTATATCACAGAGTTACAAAAATTGAATCCCAAGACGAAAGTTGCGTTCTATTCGTATGATGTTACTGTGCCTTTAAGTAAGAGTAAAGAACTACTTCAGGAAGTCTTCGAAAAGTATGAGACGATTGACTTGCTTATCAATGGAGCTGGAATAATGGACGACCATCAGATAGAGAAAACTATTGCTGTTAATTTCACCGGAACAGTGAATACCACAACGGCTATTATGGATTTCTGGGACTACCGCAATGATGGTCCAGGCGGAGTTATTGCCAACATCTGCTCAGTGACTGCTTTTTATCCGAACTGCCAAGTGCCTGTTTATTGCGCCTCAAAGGCAGCTGTTTTCAGCTTTACTGTTTCGCTTGCGGTAAGTAAATAGGATGGTATTCATTCCCATGGATCGTAATTTCATTTCACTGAATAGTTACTGGCGCCCGTCACTGGAGTAACAGCCTATTCGATCAATCATAGTATTACGAGGACGACCTTGGGCCAAAATTTCAATTCTTGGCTGGATGTGGGACCTTGCATTACCGAGAAACTGTCGGACACTCCCTCCCAGTCTACTGCGCAAGCCGCTAAGAGTTTTGTCAAGGCCATTGAGGCCAACAAAAATGGTGCTATCTGGAAGTTGGAGCAAGGTAAACTAGAGGAAGTCAAATGGACGGGATTCAATTAGTAAACACATTTACAGATTACAATTTACTTAACTCTGAGTGATGCTAACATCAATGGTGTAAATTATTGCAGAACAAGATATTGCAGAAGCACTGTTAGCGATATTCGGTTATGTTACTGAATTTATTTTTATTTATTGTATTTTATTTGCCCTTAAGATTTCCATAACCCTTTTGGGCACACAAATGTCAAAAATAATAATTATGGTTGATGTATTAACTAAACATGATGTTAACTGCTTGCTATGCTGCCCAAGCAGTGCTGCATGAAGTGCAAGGTTGTAACGGTTGTAGTTTAGAAATATTTTTTATGAATTCAGAGCATGCTAATCCTTATGTCAATTTTCGTATACACCGATACCTGGCCTAGATAAGTTCCACGAAACTTGGTCGCAAATCGAAAAGCCGTATAAGAAATCAATTATAATTCTAATGCAATACAAATGCAATGGGATTGGTTCCAAATTTGTTAAATACGTAACATGGCTTGTCATTCAAAATGCATTTTATCTTTTTATTTCATTTAAATCAAAAATAAATACATGGCAAATACATACATTTGTATATAAAATAATAACAGACTTCAAAAACCAACAATAATGTACATATATACTTTTTTTAAATGGCTTTAATCCGAAGACAATTTAAATCCAGCAGATTACTGTCGTCATCATTTTTCGCTAGTAAGGATGGGCCCGGCTTAAGAAAATTGCCAACGTTGTTTGTCTTGCCTTCTTGTCTATTTCGTTTTTTCAAGTGATTTATAACAGCTGAGTTAATTCCTCGGTTATGTTTGAGTTTATGTTTATGAGGATGTTTATTCCTTGTTCGAAATAGGAACAAGCTTTCGACAAATTTTTGATGTTAGCTAATTGGATATAATAAGCTCTGACTCTTCATCGAATGCCGTCCTGCTTGCAACTGAATGAGTTTCTCATATGCAAGGGGTTCCCTATCTTGTTCAAGTAGATCAAGCACATCACATTCGTAAAAACCTTCAAAGTTACAAAGCCGATATCATCTACTAGATCCAACATGTTTTGCCTAATTTCAGGAAGGAAATTAATTTCTGTATCAGTGCTTTTTACACAATCTGGCCATATTTTCCCCCAATCTTTGAAGGACATCGCCAACAATCTACCAACTAAATTTTATAATACTGTAGCCTTAAAACCTTTATCGATTGGCGAATGTCGATTTTATCGATTTCCTAGCCCCCTGGCGGACGTAGTTGCAGAAAAAGTCTGCATACTCCACGTCGGTTAGCCCTCCGAAGGGCACACGTGTGAGGTTATATCCGCTCCTTAAAAGAAAAGTAATACGTTCTCAACGTAGTGCACGCAATTCACAACACAAAAACCATGCAGTATGCATAGTATGCGGTATGTGTCGATTGTGTGTGATTTTAAAAATAGATTTTTTATTTCATAGTGCATCTGCTAGTAAAGTCCATTGCAAGAAAAGAACAAGAAAACACACCCATACCAGCCAAAAGTGCTTTTGCGCAGAGCTAGTTGCATACCGGCTCAGCATACTGGTGCGCGAAAAAACCCTGCATTTGGAAATAGTTAATTTAAGTTAGTTATTTTTTAAAAAAAAATTTATTGTGCACTCATCCCCCAACGATTATGCCGAAGCAGACAGTAAAGTTAAAGCTCTTTTATATGTTACTTTTTGTTGTTCTGAACCTAAGCTTAATTGACATTATATACAGACACATATTACGTTGTTCCGAAAAAAACTTCCAGCATGTTTGGGAAAGAAGATGTGCCGTGTCAGTTGGGTAAAAGCTTAATTTCATTTGCCTGTTTCTTTAAATATTCCATATGCCAATAAAACCAAAACAAGAACAAAAAAAAAAGAAAAAAAAAAACAAATTACATGCATATTGGCTAAATGAAAAATATATTAAATCTACGAGTATATACCCAATTAACATAACCTACAACAACAACCAACACTCCCTTTAAGCTTGCGCATTGCGAACAACTGTTCCTAAGGCAAGCTTAGCGCACACTGACCGCATGAAATATAGTGCCTGTGAGATCGGTTCGCCCACTCTCGCTATTGTTTTTTTCTGCCTTGTCGATATATAAAATAAATAAATAGTATTACAATTCCCGTGCAAAGTGCCGCCAAGATGTATGTGCACACCCCATGCTTAAATTTCCATTAATGCTTAAATAATTAGTTTTTAATTTTAACTAACTTTGTTAGATTTACGTTAACTTCTCATTCTGAATTATAAGAAAATTTAGTTCAATTAGTTTGATGAATTTAATTAACTTTGGGGTTAAATAATTTGAATTAATTAATTATATCAATTGCAATTCCTGGTCTAAAGAACTTGTGGGATTGTTCGGGTGGGGCTACCAGGCGAGTCTCGGGTTGCGGATAGCGAACGGACTCCCCCCTCACACAATCACTATAGCCCCACACTATTACCTACCCCATCCTATCCCCACATCTCACTCTGGCCGGACTAAAGCGTTATCTGAACCGTGCCGAGAGTCAGCTTGGCTGGGGACCCGGGCGCAAAACTAGCCCAGTCTTGAACGGTGGGCTCAGGAAATCTAATTTAGCCTTACCCGGGTAACGCGGATCTCTGCCCGGGCGGACACATATTTCTCCGCAGTTTGTGGGAACATAATGAACAATTAGTAGTAGGGAAATGGGGATTCTATGACAGGAAGCAGGTTATTGCTTTTTCGATTTTTAATTGCTTCATTATAGGAGCTAATTTATTGTTTTTGGGTGGGGGAGTGACAGGTGTGTGACCTTTTTTAGGAAAATGTGTGATTTTGGATCACGTATGAGACATTTATGATCGAAGGGTATAGATTTATGGCTGACCCTTTTTTTATTGTGGGTTGGTATGAGGTGGAGGATCACTCAGCAGCACTAGTGTGTGCGTACGTGATTGTGGTTTTAAGGGGGATATTGTGTGCGAGGCGTGTAACCTGTAACCTGTGTGCCAGAATCAGGTGGAGGATCACTCAGCAGCACTAGTGTGTGCGCACGTGATTGTGGTTTTAAGGGGGATATTGTGTGCGAGGCGTGTAACCTGTAACCTGTGTGTTAGAATCAAGTGGAAGATCAGCTAGCAGCTGGCGCACTGCTGTGGATGTTCATGATTTGATTATTGAGGGTGGGTGCAATGATCAGTGGAAAGGTAATGCTCGCTTCTCTTTTGTCACTTTTTTGTCAATGCATAGAACTCATACGAGACCTCACACCTGAATGTTTTCCCACACAATAATTAAAGTATTATTGGTGTAAACTGTAGTTAAGTAGGTACTTCGCACGTACGTTTGCCACGTGCTGGTACCTTCTTCGTGTGTTTGGTTCTCCCCTCGGGCTTCATATCTGTGCACCTGCGGGCTTCATATCTAACATTTTGGATTCTGATTTCTAAAACCTTAGTAGTTTTCAAACTCTACAATCGTCAACTCGTGTGTGTTGTGCCCTCAAAGTTTAAAACAAAACCATCAAAACAACCAATTAAAATGTTCAATAATAAGAACAACAACGTGAACACCATGGAAGGATTCAACTATGTCTCCCGGAATAACTCGGCTCAAGGACAGAGCCACCCCAATTATTTCGACCACTTAACTTATGTGGCTAATACGGGCATGCCCGCCAATCCAACCCACTCCATCTGTAACAACAACAACATCATTACCAATCCCACCGCCAACTCCACCAGCACCACCAACAATCCAACCCACTCCATCTTCAACAACAACAGCATCACTCTCAATCCCATCACCACAAGCACCAGCCCCATCATCAACTCCGTCACCACCGCCACCACCAACACCAGCTCCATCATCAACTCCGTCACCACCACCAACAACATCAACTCCGTCACCAATAACACCAACTCCGTCGCTTCCAATATCATCTGTAATGGAGTACCAAATCAAGCCAGGGTCTGCACCGCATGCAATATACAAATTGCATCATCAAAGTGGAGCGCGCATCTTCGTTCCAATGCCCACAAGATGCTCGTTTTTACGCCTGTAAATAGTCAGGTGAAATTAATTTCGAGTGGATTTAAGAATCGGATCTCGACATTCTCATTTGAGAATAAACACAAAAATGTGGTCGATCCAACAGAGTTTCTGGGTGAAGCAGCTCAAGAAACTCTTCCATTAATTCATAATGTATTGCTAACTCACACAGCATGCAAAATGAATATTGAACTCTTTGCAGAGTATATTAAATTCACTGATGATGAATTGCTGATGACAATTAAATCTCATCAGTCTAATATGAGTGTCATAACAGCGTCTAGTGATCTGGGAGAGACAATTAAAGATCACTCAGCTATAATTTGTGTGAAAATGGATGAGTTCCAAGAGAAGGACAGTGGTTGGACACTCTCGCAAATCTTAAGGCTGGAGGTAAACATCAATAAATATACTCCACTCAAAGTTTCAAGCTTTATTGAAACGCCTAAAGTGTTGAGGAATAAAAAAGCATTAATTAATGTTAAAAATGCTGATGAATTTTGCTTTAAATGGGCATTAATATCAGCCCTTAAAGCACCAGCTAACAACCAGCCTGCACGATGCTCAGCATATAAAGTTGATGCGATTGAGAGCGACGTGATACAAATTGATGGAGCACTGACGCTCAATTTTTCCAATTTGGATTTCCCTCTTCCATTGGATCAGATAAAAATTTTTGAAGCTCAAAACCAAAACATTAGCATCAATGTTTTTGGTTTCGATGAGCAGTACAATGCTGTTAACGGACCATTATATGTGACGCAGATGGAGAAGAATACGCACATAAGCCTTATGTTGCTGGAGAGTGAGGAGTGCGGACATTTTGTGTGGATAAAAAATTTGTCAAGGTAATATTTAATAAATACTTTTTCCAAAAAAAAAAAACAAAATTTTTAATACAAATATATTTGTTTTTTTTATACTTCCAGACTTGTAAGACGCCAACTTACATCGCACAAGACGCAGTTGTACTTCTGCAAGACGTGCTTGAATTTTTCCCATAATGCGCGGATGCATGAAGAGCACCGTCAACAGTGTGGGAAGGTTGTGTCAACGCTCCCTGCCGAAGAAAAAGCAAGTCTTAGTTTTAAGAATTTTAGTCGTAGTTTAGACGTACCTTTTGTTGTATACGCAGATTTTGAGTGTGTTCTAACCCCCCTCAATTCGCAATTGAGTGAGAATGTAATAGCAACTTCTCAGCATATCCCC